GGGGGGGGTTGGGGTTGGGGGAGGCTCCAGAGAGAAAGCCCTGGGAAGCCATGCTTAGCTAAAAGAGCAAGGAAGAATCTTGCAAGGGCCTCTAAAGAAAGAGGATCTGAGAGGGGCAAAGGGGAAGGCCTCCTGGAAGCTGTAGCCCAGGGTGGGCTGTTTTTGTAGCCCTTTCGCCTAGGTTTGACAAATAAAACTGCATCTGGAAAGCCGTTGTAGGTGTGGTGCTTGGTGGGCTGGGAACAAGTTGGCCTCCTACAGTGAGTTCCCCACCTCTTTTCCCCCATGCAGATGACTGATTTGCAAGGGGAAAGTGGCACACCATATTCTTGTTTCACGGCGTGGCTGCTACCGAGCTGTTTGGATCAATGAAGCCAAAGGGCACAGCTGTCAAATAGATTTCAAGTTCTGGTGGACTGTTTGTTTTGCAGACACAGAGATTCAGGTGATGGAGATGAGAACAGTTGGCGATCGTATGGGTGAGAGATCTCTGGCAGACACAACTGCAAATCTTGCTCCGGGATGGGAAACAAGAGCAGTTCCTGGGGAACTACAATATTGCTCACTGCTACCCAGGATGCTGCTGCAGCTGTTCTAGTCTGTATCTGGTAAATCCACAGTGTCAGCAGCCCTCCCGTCCCATGCAACGGCTTGCTTCAGGATCGTGAAGGAATGGAGTGAAATAGAAGGAAGCTGGCACTGAAGGGCACTTTCATTTTAATCATTCTGCAGTGTCGTTATCACCGTCTCTGCCTACGTCTCTGATTCAGTTGCTGATCGCAGCACCCCTGCCCTTCCACTACACTAGTTAAGATGGCGCTGACATTCAGCGGCGTTGAGCATCCTGCGTTGAGCATCCTGGGCATCCTCTCTCCTGGTAAAGCCAAAGGACAGTGAGGATGCTCTGCACTCCTCAGAAGGCCGCTACACCTTTCAGGATTGGGCCCTTTGTCCACTTCCCCTGACTGTTTCCATGCCTCTCTTTGTATCATCCAGATCCTGTTCTGCAAGCAGCAGCGCTCTGTGTGTTCAAAGCCTTTCTTTTTATACCTAGCTCTGCCAGGCCCTAACCCCAAGTTTATGGATGTTAGCGGGAGTCCTTCCACTGACTTCAGTGGGCTTTGGGGCAGGCCTCTAGCATTGTTTGTCTGTAGCTGTCAAGGTCCTCTTCCACAATGGAACGAGGGAACGTTGGTTTAAACTGAAACTCAGACACCGGCAAGCTGTGCACCTGCCTAAGCTGAGGCACCGCGCGGTGATAACCCCAGTCCATTCTCACTCATCCCTTCTCTGCTGTTCATCACCCTCATTCAATGTGTCACATGGGAAAGTTAGGGTCAGGTTGCGATCCCAGTACTCATCTTCGCACCGTCTTTTTGGTAAGATGGAGGTTTGGCTCCTTTCATTGTTCCCTGTAAGGCAAATTTTCCAGGCTTTGTGTCATTCTTTTCTGAACCCTTTCCAGCTCTTTAACAACCTGGAGTGGACACAAGGACACTCCAGTGAGCAGTGGTCTTGCAGGTGCCAAAAGCATCAGTAATACCACCTCCCTGTTCCTACTCTATACTTCTCTGTCAGTTGATCCAGGAATCAGGTCACCATACTGGCAGATAATGGTCACTGAGTTATCTACAACTAGAGCTGACAGATATGATGGAAAAATATTTTGATCAGCTCTATTTTGCATTTGGCTGTATTAAAATGTACACTTAATTGGGCCGCTGTGCTCCACATCAGTGTTTCTCAATCAGTGGTACAAGTACCCTTAGGGGTACGTCAACACAACTGAAATTTGGAGAAAACTGAATTTTTGATTTAAGTTTTACAGCGCTTTATTATTTTTGTGCTTTTTACACCCAAAAATTTCATCGCCCACCCAGCTACGATTAGCAAATGTGTAAACAAATGTGTTGCAATGATAGAAAAAAAAATGGTGTGTCTGAAAACAGTAGGTACTGGGGATACTTTTTTTTTAAAGGGGTACTTTATAAAAAAGGTTGAGAAACACTCTTCCATATCACTCAATGTGACTGACCTGTCCTTACTGTTTACCCTTCCATCCAATTTGTGTTTCATCTACAAGCTTTACCAGTCGTCATTTTATATTTTCTTCCAGATTGCTAATAATGATAGGGGATAGCACGGGGCTGAGAGCAAATCCCTCGGGGGACCCAATTAGAAACATCACCATTCCGTGATTATTCCCCATTTACACAGATGTACTGTGAGATCTGTCAGATGCTTCTGAATCCATTTGCTGTGGAATTGTGTACACATGCGGGTATGTAGCATGCAGAGGAAAGCGGGTGTTATAGGACCACTACACCTCCCTCCCTCTCATCAGCAAGGATGGGCAGGTAGGAGTGGGGTTGGGTAGCATTTTAAAATAGTGAACAAACGTAAAAGTCAGTCCTTCCCCAGCGCACTGCATCTGCCTCAGTTCCTCTGCAAAATCACGGTCTTGCCCTAGGTTCAATTGCCAATTTCCTGGGGCAGGGTTTGTGTCTTGTCTTAGGTTTTATGCAGCAGCATGTACGCCCTTGTAAATAGTTAGTAATCAGTGCTTCCGAAGATGTGTGGCATATTATCTGCTTTATAGTTCACTTATTGCGATAATGCTCTTTTTCCTCTCTCATCTTTCTCAAATATAGAACAGATAATGGGGTTTATTCTAGAATAACAATTATGGAATCACCACTTCTCATTTCACCTTTCTTCCATTTCCCTTTGATGGGGGAGGAAAATGGGCTAATGATTGTAGCATAGGACTGAGTCTGAAAGCTGAGTTCTGTTGATTGCTAGCATGGCCAACAGCTTGATGAGGCACCATGAACGAGTCTCGGAGGGCCTGGCCCTTAAAGCTGTTGCTGTTGAGTTTGGATCAGGATTTTTTCTTCTCTGTTGACCTTATTCCCACCCTTGTAAAGTGCGTTGGGATCTTCAAATGAAAGGTGCCTGCGTGACAAACTGGGCCACCCCTATTGCCACAGAGTGGGTTGGGTACGCCCTGTCACACTGTCATTGGGACTCCCTGCTGGATCAAGCAATTTAAGTGGGGAGAATTCGGGGTTCCTGGGGGAGCCTGGTGAACACTCAGTCTGTGCCTCCCAAACCTCCGGCTGGGGCAAACAATCACAGCTGTTCTCTCCCCAGAACTAAATCTTCCCTTTCCTCTGCTACCTCACACTAAGAAAATAAAGGGTCACAATTTAAGTGCCATCCAATGCATGGAGCTGTTTTATAATGCGGGTTCAGGCCGAAGAGCTCAAGTCTGCCTCTTCATACTGAATCTATTTTTGTTGTGGAAGGTCCGTGAAGTGTAGCAACGAAGGCCCTAAATTATGACCTATTCTATTTAAGAATTACTGAAGCATCAAAGCCTTTTAGACACAGAGGGCTAAGAGAATAAAAACCAGGGTCTAATGGCTCAATTTCTTCAGTAGTCTTAGGCAACTCAGAGGCGCTGCAGCCTTTTGCAAGAGGATGTGACTGGTAAAGCCAAAGAGACCTCCTCCTTTTCCCCAATCTTTCAATAAATAAATTGAAAAGCAAATTAATGCCAAACATTGATATTATATGATCTGCCAGATACAGTAGGAAAATAGGGAACTTGATGGAATCTAATATTACAATTAAAATGTTTATAAAAGGGAATCTTCCATTGTTGTTTGCAGTTTCTGGCTGCAAATGCACCATGAAATCAATGCTATAGCTGAGGTACATTGATGATGATTTTTATCTTTGGGACAGATGAGCTAAGCTGCTCCACAGATTTCCCCAGAACTTTGACAACCCTCACACATCCATCAAACTCTCTCTAGAACACTCCCATACCAGGGTCATCCTGTCTCTTGTAAGTATGCAATGAAAAGTCTCATTATTAATATAATATACAGAGGTATATTTAATACATGGTTGTGAGCATGCATGTATTGTGTAGCTATTTAAAAATCATGGCTAAAAATTAGGTTTACAGTTAAAATATATTTGAACTGAAATTACATTAACATTTTGCTATGCGATTCAAAACAAAATTAAGTCAAATATATTTATATATATA